CATGTAACATGTGAACAGTATTTTAAATATCATCACTATATGGCAGAAATGACAAAAACAATGAACAGAAAACCTTGTCCTCTTTTTGGTATGCATTTTCAAAGTCAAATATTCATGAATTTCTTTTCTCTCTAATTTAGACTTGGATTTCTTTGTGCCAGTCTCCTTTTGGAAAATGGAGATAATAAGTAATAATAACATCCACTCAAGGGTTGTTGTGAACATTAAATGGATAACGAATGTAGAAATCTTGCTTTCATGAGTGCTTGGCATTTAAATGCTCAATAAACAAACTTGCTTTTATTAGTAGTATTTTTGTTATTGCTCCTCTATGCTCCTGCCCACTATGTTTTGAGGATCTGTTTCATGGAGGAACCTCTGAAAGTGTTCACTGCACTGTTTTCTATATTATATCACATAGCTGTGTAATAATTTTAGTCTATCTGTTACCCTTACAATGAGATTTATAAGTAGAGGTTTTGCACAAAAGCTTTCATTCCAAATCAAACTTATAAAACTGAAGAACTTTTTGTCTTTGTAAAAGTTAATCACTTAACACACTGTGATTTGGATTCTGTGTTTTAAAAGTAACAAATTTCTTTTTAATAATATACAAAAATTTCTTAATAGCACATGTCATAAAAATACAAATCGCATTGTTTTTAAATATCGTGGTCTGATGAAACTGTAAAATGAGAAGTTTTACTACCTTTTTAGCAATATGGGCACTTTACTCTCTCTAGCATGAATATAGTTTCAATATATAATCATACAAAGAAAAAAACAGTACAACACAGTAAGTCAAAATCGTGACTTAAAGAGATAATTTAGCTCAATAGAGTTCATTCTGAACCAGACAACTAATATTATATAATTCTACCTTAATATAAAGAAGAATAAAGTTATATGATTATTTTCTATATCCATTACTTACCCTTTTTCATATGTGAATTCATCTTTCAAAGAATTAGCTGATGATTCACCAATAAAGACAGATGGAATGTCAATTTTCTTTAATACATCAACTGTATAGAAGAATAAGAGTAATTTTATTATTCTTAAATAGTTGTACAGTCAATTTTCTTCATAATAGCAGCAAATTTAACTGAAACAATTACAATCAGTTCTAACTGTCTACTGGTTGATTTTCCAGGTTGCTCAGACCATCAGCGTAGTTGAGAAACATGGCGGCATTTACAGTAACAAAGCTCATATTTTGCACATGCCCATTACCTCAATTCTCTCAACAGTTCTATGAGATTGAGGCATAATTTTTATTATTTCCATTGAATTTATTCCTCTATAAACATGATTTTAAATATTACACAAGGAAGATGAAGAAATTTTAGGTTTTCTTCCCCCACATACTTAATTCCTAAGTGAAAAAGAAAAAAAGTTTCTTTTACATACCCATTTCCAGGAGTGATACAGCCATGCCATGTAAGAAAAGACTGCTTTACAACAATCTAAAAAGAACCCTATATGTCTCTGGCTTTCCAGAGTAAAAACCAAGAAGAGTTGAGAAAGGGCATAGAGGGAAATCTGAGTAAATTTCTACTTCCTCCTATGCCTGGAATTCATGGTAAAACTTTGTGTTTTGGTTGGTCTAAAGAAATATGACTCTTATACCCATATTTCAAAACCAAACTCAAATGCCACTTAAAAAAAGTTTTATAAAAAATTACCCATTGCTGAGAAATAGAAATAAAAACAATTCCTTTAATGTTGCTAATAGGAAAAGCAACCTTATTATTACCTGTGAGTTTAACTTAGCAGATTTGGCTTTAGAGAAAGCCCATTTGTTTTCTTGTTACAGTTTTCAAAATAACTTTGTTCTATATTTTGAAAATAATGCATATTCATTATGCATTTTAAAAGTCAGGCGGTGTGGAGTAAGCAGATAAAAAGACAAGAAAATACAACCATAATCCTTCCCACCCAAAGATAAATGTTTCATTTGAAATAGCAAACAATTTGAAGTTCTGTAAGTTTTGACAAATACATGCAATTATTTGACAAATACACCACAATTAAGATACAGAATGTTCTGTTATCCCTCCCAAATTCCCCCATTTCTCATCAACCCCAATCTCAGCAATTGCTGATTTATTTTTTTGTTCATTTATTTGTTTTTCATCCTATGATCTCCCCAATCTCAGCAATTGCTGATTTATTTGTTTGTGTTTCAGCCTTAATGAAGACAAATTTTAAATCTTGGTACCCTTGATAAAGCTTTTTTTTTTCACTTCCAGATTGTTTTATGCAACTTTAAACACTCCATCCCACACACTCTCTATTTCTCTCTCTTGCTTCTCCCTCTCTCTCTCTCTCTCTCTCTCTCTCCCCCCCTCTCTCACACACACACACTAAACCTCAAACACCTAGGAGGACAGAATCCAAATGGTTAGTCAGGAATATTTAATTACTATTACTGACCAATGTGAACAACTGAAATCGTAATTGTCATATCAATGGAATCATACAATAGAAAAAAGTATAAGATTTTTTTCCATTCAATGATATTCCTCAAATATTCTGTCATATCAATAAATTTAGATCTACTTCATTATTTATTTATTTAGAGACAGAGTCTCACTGTGTTGCCCAAACTGGAGTGTAGTAGCTATTCACAGGCACTATTGCAGCACACTA